ATGTCAAGAATGTACCAAATAGAGGCATACACATACGAAGTATTGCTACCAGCTATGGAAAACATTGCCCACCTAACTGATCCCTTGCCGTGGCCAAGGTACGTCATGAAGTTGAATAAGTTTCGTTTAACACTACGTTATATACGATTGCGCTATTGGTTTATTGGTGTACAGTGGCCACTCGCATTGCCGCGCCGCACGGTTCTCCTCTCTAGGCCGGCGCGGCTATGCGAGGGACCCCCTATCCCCGCTGAATGGCCGGCCGAAGGATGAAGCCACAGTGCTGTATGTGCTATTTACCTTCAGAGCTGTTGAACAGTAATCAGAGAATAATCATAATCTACGCCAGCAGTGTATGGCGGTGAGCAGTGGGGTCAGGCTAGTAGAGCTTACAAGGGGATTTAGGCAAGTGTAAATTCCCGATCGTGCCCAAACTCGGTATATTTGCTTCTTATCTATGTAGGTGACGAAAGCCGCCCAAATTTTTTCCTGAGCGTCATGTGCCGAAACTCCCTATAAAAGCGTATAATTTCACAAAATACAAATTTCTATTTTTGTACAAATATTAAGTGATAATCTGACTCAAAATGAGCGGTTTTGGGGGGGTAGTTCCTCTGACACTTTTCGATTTGAGACCTCCTTCCGTCATTTTTTGCCCAAATTCAATATTTTTTCCATTATTTAATCCCCTAAAGTACCCTAGAAATTGACTCTCAGGAAAAAGTACTCCCGTCAGTCGTCATCAACATGGATAAGAAACAAATATACCGAGTTTGGGCAAGATCAGGAATTTACACTTGCCTAAGCCCCCTTGTTAGCGCAGCTATGAGAGGCGCGGCTATGCGAGTGGCCACTGTACCGTATGGTCATGGCGACTCCCTGCGAGGGTGGGTGTTCTATTCTATGGTGTTATAGAATAGATATCTTTAAAACTATGGATCAGGGATAACGAAGGAGACAGAACACTTGAGGGGAATACTCCAGAGAGAGATTTATTATTGTAGGCGACTTGCCCTTGTAGTTGGATAGGTTAGGCTAGAAGGCAGTGATTTAACTGTACCCTACTTATGTAGTATCAGTAGTGCCAACCTAACCCTCCAACTGCAACAGTGGGAGCCGACATCGCGAACGTGATTATTAACATCTCAACTACGAAATGAAAGTTTCTGATTTCGAAATTACTTTTACAAACAAATGGTGGTCGCGTTAGAAATTTATTGATGAGCAGTACGCACCGAACTACATTGGCACGTGGCAAAATACGCGGGCACACTAGATGGCGAGGCACAATTTTCTGTACGGACGCTAGACGTTTTCTTGTGCACATTTAAATCAAATTAGCATTTGAG